TCCCGTCCTCCATTCTCCATCTCTCCTCCTCCACCTCTCAGCCTCTTTTTCACGGCTTCGTCAACCTTTACGGTCCCGGGAGCTTTGAAGTCCCCAACTGGCATGGTATCTCCTCCTCATTGCGTCGTTGTCCTCCTCCTCCTCCTCCCCATCCGCCATCCCTTCTCCTCCTGACCTCCTTGTCCTCCTCCTCCTCCTCCACATCTTCCTCCTCCTCCACATCTTTCTCCTTCTCCACATCTTCCTCCTCCTCCTCCTCCTCCTCCTCCACTCCTCCTCCACTCCTGGTTCATCTGTCCTCCTCGTTCATTTCTCCTCCTCCACGTTTCCCTCCTCGTCAAGGTCTTGTCAACGTTTCTTGCGTAAACTTAGTAAATTACTAAACTTTGAATAACGGTTTGAATGTCGTCGTCTTCCATATGCGGACTGCAAGGTGTGATGCCGACTGCCACGTGTCACAGCCTCGTCACTTTTTTTTTTTTTTTTTTTAATGGCAACTTTCAAGTTCGAAGTTCGAACTTTCGTGGTATCTCCTCCTTATCTCATCATCATTGTCCATCTCTCCTCCTCCCTACCTCCTCCTCCTCCGTCTCTTTTTCATTCCTCTTCGTCCATCTTTCTTCCTCCACCCTTCCTCCATCTCCCGTCCTCCATTCTCCATCTCTCCTCCTCCACCTCTTAGCCTCTTTTTCACGGCTTCGTCAACCTTTACGGTCATGGGAACCTTGAAGTCCTGAACTGGCATGGTATCTCCTCCTCATCGCATTGTTGTCCTCCTCCTCCTCCTCCCCCTCCGCCATCCCTTCTCCTCCTGACCTCCTTGTCCTCCTCCTCCTCCTCCTCCTCCTCCTCCACATCTACCTCCTCCTCCACATCTTTCTCCTTCTCCACATCTTCCTCCTCCTCCTCCTCCTCCTCCACTCCTCCTCCACTCCTCGTTCATATGTCCTCCTCGTTCATTTCTCCTCCTCCACGTTTCCCTCCTCGTCAAGGTCTCGTCAACGTGTCTTACGTAAACTTAGTAAACTACTAAACTTTGAATAACGGTTGGAATGTCGTCTTCTTCCATATGCGGACTGCAAGGTGTGATGCCGACTGCCACGTGTCACAGCCTCGTCACTTTTTTTTTTTTTTTCATGGCAACTTTCAAATTCGAAGTTCGAACTTTCGTGGTATCTCCTCCTTATCTCATCGTCATTTTCCATCTCTCCTCCTCCCTACCTCCTCCTCCTCCATCTCTTTGTCATCCCTCTTCGTCCATCTTTCTTCCTCCACCCTTCCTCCATCTCCCGTCCTCCATTCTCCATCTCTCCTCCTCCTCCTCTCAGGCTCTTTTTCACGGTTTCGTCAACCTTTACGGTCACGGGAACTTTGAAGTCCCGAACTGGCATGGTATCTCCTCCTCATCGCGTTGTTGTCCTCCTCCTCCTCCTCCTCTCCCTCCGTCATCCCTTCTCCTCCTGACCTCCTTGTCCTCCTCCTCCTTCATCTCTCATCCTCCATGTCCTCCTCTTCCTCCTCC